AACTGGATGTCTACATGTAGAAAAATGAAAATAGATCCATACTTATCACCCTGCACAAAACTGAAGTCCAAGTGGATCAAAGACCTCAACATAAAACCAGACACATTAAATCGGCTAGAAAAAAAAGTGGGGAATACCCTAGAACTCATTGGTACAGGAGAAAACTTCCTGAACAGAACACCAACAGCACAGGCTCTAAGAGCAACAATCAATAAATGGGACCTCATGAAATTGAAAAGCTTCTGTAAAGCAAAGGACACTGTCATCAAAACAAAGCGACTGCCTACAGATTCGGAAAGAATCATCACCAACCCTCTATCTGACAGAGGACTCATATCCAATATATATAAAGAACTAAACAAGCTGAAAAGCAACAAACCAAGTAATCCACTTAAAAAATGGGGAACAGAGCTAAAGAGAGAATTCTCTGCAGAGGAATATCTTATGGCAGAGAAGCACTTAAAGAAATGCTCAACCTCATTAGCCATTAGGGAAATGCAAATCAAAACAACCCTGAGATTTCACCTTACACCCATCAGAATGGCGAAGATGAAAATCTCAAGGGACAACACATGCTGGAGAGGTTGTGGAGAAAGGGGAACGCTTCTCCACTGCTGGTGGGAATGTAAACTGATACAACCACTCTGGAAATCAATCTGGCGCTTTCTCAGACAACTAGGAATAGTGCTTCCTCAAGATCCAGCCATACCACTCCTAGGCATATACCCAAAAGAGGCACAAGTACACAACAAGGACATTTGTTCAACCATGTTTGTAGCAGCTTTATTTGTAATAGCCAGAAGCTGGAAACAACCCAGATGCCCCTCAACTGAAGAATGGATGCAGAAACTGTGGTACATCTATACAATGGAGTATTACTCAGCAATGAAAAATAAGGAAATCATGAAATTTGCAGGTAAATGGTGGGACCTGGAAAGGATCATCCTGAGTGAATTGACCCAGAAGCACGGTATATACTCACTCATATAAACATACAATATAGAATAAACCCACTAAAAGCTGTACATCTAAACAAACTAAGCAAAAGAGAGGACCCTAACTAAAATGTTCAATCCCCATCCTGAAAGGCAAAGAGGATGGACATCAGAAGAAAACGAAAATAGGAAACAACCTCGGAATCCGCTACAGAGGGCCTCTGAAAGCCAGAAGAAAACAGGAAACCACCTTGAAACCTGCCACAGAGGGCCTCTGAAAGCTTCTGCAGTATAGACTGTCAAAGCAGATGCTGAGCCTGATGGCCAACTGATGGGCAGAGTGAATGGAATTTTATGTAAGAAGTGGGAAATAGTAAGAGCTGGAGGGAACGGGAACTCCACAAGCAGAGCAACAGAACAAGATAATTTGAACACAGGGAACTTCCCAGAGACGCATACTCCAACCAAGGACTATTTGTGGAGATGACCTGGAACCCCTGCACAGGTGTAGCCCATGGCAGTTCAGTGTCCAAGTGGGTTACATAGTAATGGGAAGAGGGACTGCCTCTGACATAATCTGATTGGCCTGCTCTTTGATCACTTCCCCCTGGGGGGGGGAGCAGCCTTACCAGGCCACAGTAGAGGACAATGCAGCCACTTTTGATGAGAACTGATAGACTAAGATCAGAAAGGAGAGGAGAACCTCCCCTATCAGTGGACTTGGGGAGTGGCATGCATGCAGAAAGGGGAGGGAGGGTGGGATCGGCAGGGGAGGAGGGAGGGGCTTATGGGGGGATACAAAATGAATAAAGTGTAATTAATAAAAAATAAATAAAAGATTATAAAAAAAAAAGATTGGTCTTTATTGATGAAGATACCATGTGCCTCAGTTCCAGGACTGCAAAGATACACCTGAATCTTGTCTGAAAGCCTCCATCTCACGGGCTGTTTCAGTACTGGAAGGTACTATTTAAGTTTCCACTGAGAGGGGATGTCCTCCCCTCCTTCCATCTGGCCATAGCTTATCAGGTATCTTCAGGATGGTTGCAATGTCCTTATCTGTGGCCTAGCAAGGCTGCTCCTCCCTGAGGGGAGAGGGGAAGCTCATGAGTTCATGTCAGAAACAATTCCTGTCTCTCTTACTAGGGAACCCACTTGGATACTGAGCTACCATGGGCTATGTCTGAGCAGGGGTTGTAGGTTATATCCATGCACGGTCCTTTGTTAGATAAACAGTCTCATAGAAGACCGCTGTGCTCAGATATATTTGCACCTTGTAGGGCTCCCTGTCTCCTCTAGGATATATTAATTTCTCCTTCCTTCCTATGATTCCCTATACTCTGCGGAAATCTTGGTTATGGGTCTCTCCTATTTCTAAATGACATGTTGTCAAAAAAAAAAGTTGTGGTTTTTATTTTTTTATTTTTTAGGTTATTTTTGTTTTAAAAAAAGAGTTTTATCTTAAATCAATTACAATCTAGTTTACTAGTCAGTTTGATAGAATGATTCATTGATATAAGATAAAATATGTTATAGCAAACACATAATGAACACAGTCTCTTTCTCCTCCTTCAGAATTTTCCTAAGCTCCTGAATATATAATCTAATAAAAAGCATATGCTATATTTTCCTCTTATTAACATGTCTTTTGTTATAAAAATATTGGCCATGACACTCAGGGTGAATGAAGCTTCTACAATGGCCTTTATAATAATAAGCCATTCTTGAAAGATTAAGATTTCATCCAGTGTGTGTGTGTGCATGTGTGTGTGCACTGTTTGTATATGTGGGTGCACATACATGTAGAGGTTGTCTCCCCCAATTTCTCTCCACCTTGCTTTTTAAGATCGGCATCTTTCACAGACCTGGAAGCTAATCAGCTAAGCTAGTCAGCCAGTTTGCTCTAGGAAGCCATCTATCTTTAAACTCCATAACACTGGGAACTACGGATGTAGGCTGCCACACCCAATTTTTACATAGTTGCTGAGGGTCTGAATGCCTTTGTGCATTCCCATAAAGCATTTTACCCATTGAGCTAGTTCTCCAATCTCAGCATTCAAAATTTCGTGCATGTGTTTCAAGATCAATAATTGATTTACAGCAGCCTTTATTCTGAATGTAGAATTTGCATTCTGAACTGCGATGCTTATTTAGTTGACAGCCTTTTCCCATCATAATACAGCCAATATGATGTTCCAGGAATATTATTACTGATCTGCTAGAAACATCAGTGGCTCCTCCAGTATTTACAATGTAGGGAAACTTAATAATTTCATTTTCTTAGACAAGCTCTAACAACTTCTATCGTACAGTCAATTCGAAAATGCATTCATTCCCTCAACATGCCCTGCTGTTTCCAGTATCACTGAACCTACTCCACAATGATGGTGTGCACCTTCATCTAGGCTTTAGTCAACAGCAAAGACAATGTTCTGTAAGAATCATTTCACATTCATTCCATGAGAAGTTTTGCAAATTGCATCAGCTCGTGCATGCCATTAGTACTTCTACTCATGCATTTTCCTGTCTATTGCTTTTTGCTTGCTACATTTTTAGTACACATTGTGTTTCATTTTTTCCAACACAGAACATGCATAATGCCAACTTTAACAAATTATTTGTCACAGTTTTTTCTTTTTTTCAGCATTCTGTTCTAGAGACAATGTATTCAGAGAGCAGACAAGTGTCATAACCAAATTACTCACTAGTAATCAATAATATATAATTATCAATGGCCAAATTAACCTGGAAACCAAGATACCTGTAAATTTAAAAATACTTTTAAATACCTTACAAAACGCTCTCATATCATTAGATCAACAAATTTAAGACTTTGGAAAGAAAACAAGGATCTGGTATTATCAGATCACGGTGAGAAAAGGAAAAGCCCAGGACGTCCACCAGCAACCAGACAAGTACCTTTATCCTTTAGGGACCCTACTCAGGTCAAGTTGGATCCTTGGCTTCACTGCAGAAACTCGGTACAGGATGAGCCAATTTGAAGCAGAGTTAATGTTTATTAGAGGGATATTTTGGGCATAGGTTTAAGCACAAAAATTAGGAGAGAAATACTCTGTAGAGAGGTAAGTCACCCAGGACTCAGTGGGTAAATCGCCCACTGCAATTTCTGGATGAGGCTCAGGGCCTACTCTCCCAAGTGCTGACACAGGTGAGAGATGGGGCCACCACTCCAGAGCCTCACATCCAGTGAGAGGTGGAGTGAATTCTGTGCAACCCCTAAATATCCATGACGTCCCCACCGGCTGCCCTGACCAGGGACATCCTCTTGTTATCTAGTGGTGATAAGAGCCATGGACATTGACCCTGACCCCGGAAGCTGTGTAGCCACAGACTCAGACATGGCCCTAAGTGGCAGCTCAGGTGAGGACCTCACCATGATCTGGGTGGTGGGGTTGACCACTCATAGCAGGCTATTCCTCTGCAGCCTCAAGTCTCCAGTTCCATCTCTCTTCATAATGCTCAAGCTGCTCGACATCTCTTTCTTGCTCATCTGTCCACCACATGCTCTCACACTGTAGTGACTACTGCTACAAGCCTCTCAGCTAGCGGGCCCCTCGGCATCATCCTCCATCCTTGCTGCCTGACATGGAAGCAAGTGGGTGACTGGGGGACTTCTCTGTACCACACACTGGAGGGCAGGTCTGTGGGTGGCATGGTGGTCCACAGATCTCAGTTTGTCTTCTTCCTCTCGTGTTGTGATGCAGGATTTGAATTGATTTTTATGAGTCTTTGGCATAAGACAGCTTTGACCATCATGCCAGGCATCAAGCTAGGATGAAGAAAGGACTGTTCTTCCCCTGACTGATATAAGAACAATAACACCACCAACAAGGTGTCTCTTTGCCCATTGTCAGCGGCTCAAGCTGTGGAACTTTCAGGAGGTGGAGCTTCCCCATAGGAACTGGGTCACTGTCAGGTCTTACTGTTTTATAATGTAAACACATGTCCCATTGATCTGCTTTCTCTGTTTCTAGCATGTATGTGTTATGAGCAACCCCTCATGTTCCTGCCATTATACCTACCCCAGCACAATGGACTTCATTGCTTCCTAAACTATAAGCTGAAATTCATTCTTCCTCCCTTAAGTTGGCTTCTTGCCATGTAATTGGTCCCAGAAAAGAGAAAAATTAAAGGATGGTGGCAATGGTGGTGGTGGTGGTGGTGTGTTTGTGCCTCTCTCTGCCTTGATTTTATCTTGCTTGGCATAGGAGCAAAAGAACAGTTGTCTTTCTTTACCTGTCCTGAGGGTCATGACTGTAATGGAAAATAACTGATAAAAGAATGAGGCATTTCCTGAGTAGGAATGACACATGAAATGAGAGTTTAGAAATCAAAGACATAAGACACATAGTTTATGTTTCAGTTTGATTGCACTAAATGGGTAAATCCAATATAAGCACGTTGGGCAGAAGGACTAAGGCATTCGTCCAGATTCATAGATTCTCTATGTACATTTCTTTCTTCTTTGAGGGGGGTGAAAGTGGAGCTCTGGAGAATAAGAAAAAAAGCTGCTATTCTAGGTTTTAATGTTCCATTTTCTAGGCTGGTCATGGTTAGAAAAGTATCCAGACACAAAAGAGTTGAAAGATTAGACATCCTTGCTTCTGTCCTGGGACCCTCCTGTATCCTTTAGATCAAGCAGTTTACAGCATCGTGTTCTGGGCCTCAGCACTGGTACAGAGTTCCTTTAATCTTTTTTTTTTTTCTACTTCTGAACCATAATGCTGCATTTCCTTATTTTATTAAGGCAGAGCTTAGCAACTATAAAATCTACATTGTCAACACAGTAAAACAAGTAGGGCACCAGACATTTAGTTTTGGATTATCACATCTAACTAGAGGCACCTCATTAATCTTCCATTTTCTTCTCCAGATTCCAAATCGACACACTTAGGCGATTTAACACTAACTGAAATGATTAATAGGTTTCTCCAGAACTAACCTAATTGCTATGACACTAAAGACAAGAATGTTACAAAAGATAAAGCATTGAGACCAAAACTACCTCCCTTCCAGGTGGCAATCAACCGTTAAAGCAATTCCAGGACTCCTTTGAGCAACAAACAAATGGCTGATGCCAAGAAGGGTTTTGTCTGGCTGGAATCAGCTAGAAGACATTCTCATCAATAAATTATCATACCCTGTTCACTGTTTTCAATCTAATGTGAAGTCTGGGCCTATGAAGATTTTCAGGAAGAAAACCCTTTAAACGATTCTAATTTAATTTCCATATTTCACCTCCACATAGCAGCATATTCCCATGCACACTATAGCCTCGATCTTGCTTAATGCAACAGTAACCTAGCATCAAAGGACTATGTAGATATGTCTAACAAATAAGAAGGGAAATGGGAAAAGTAAGGCAATAGTCTGAAGGGTCAAAAGTCATATTTATGACTTCTTTATATTTCAAAGAAAACCACCCAGTAAAGTAGCAAGAATATTGTTTCTAGTTTTTGGGGGGTTGGTTTTCTCTCTTAAGGTGACCTCCTGACCATAACCTGTCTGCTAAGTTAAAACCTACCAAAACTATATATTAACATTAATCATCAAATATAAATTTTCTAATTTTTTTTGTTTTTTGTGTTGTCTAAATGTTTATAATCTTATAAAATACATCTTTTCATCACTTAACTATTAGTAATTTTCACAACAAACGAGTCTCACAAAGTTATCTTCTATAGATAGGTCATTAGTGGGTGAATATAATTTCCTTTGTTTTTCTTACATATCTGTCATATAAACACATATTCTAAGTTTGGAAAATATGGAGATGTTGATATTGTTGGGTGTATACATTTTCAATCCCATCATTTTCACGTAATGCACAGGACCTCACGATTACCAACCCAGCAGAGTTTGTCAGTTCAAAGAAAAATATTTTCTCTCCTTTTGTATTTTGAGATCCTAGTATTTTATTAAGCTGTTTAAAAAGACATTTTAGCTTTCTTTAGGTCTTTTACTCAGTGGCATTGCCACCACTGAGTTTTTATTATGTAAATTATTGCAATCTGGTTAGCTCCTTCCGTCTTTTTTCTTAACAAAAGGGGTCTGCAAGTGCTAATCAAAATGTTGCAATTTACATATTAATGAAGTTTTCATAATGACAATTTCTTCATACACTGGGTGAGCTAAAGAGCGACTTTTTACTTTTTTTTTTTTTTTTCCAAGAATGATACCACCAACTCTGGTCTTCGGAAGTATCTTTAGAACTTCCCCAATCTAATTGGAATCACATTTATGTACTTTAATGTGATGCCAAAAATCAGATGATGTTGTGATGTTTATGAGGAATTTTTGTGTTCATTTGTGTGGTTATAATTACACAAACTGTTGGGAATCCATTTGGCAGATATGACACTGTATACAATCCAGGATGAAACATTTTCAGCAAAGAAAAACATTCCACTTAAAATGAGCAAAGATCAGGACTGTAGTTAAGCTATAGCGTCACTGTCCAGCTGTTTGCATAGAATATAAGTGATTTCCTGGTGCTAACAAAAATCCAGAAAAGAAACATTGTAACTAATACAAGGGCATATGATAGCCAAGATGCTCTCAAGTAAAAGGACCACAAAAGATGAAGATGAAATGACTTAAGTGATCATTTTGATAGGAAGGTACTTTGAATATAGAAATATTTTGTCTCTTCAGAATGCATCACTGAACATCAAGCTGAAAAAACAGCTGAACAATCTGTCAGTAAAATGCTCTCCCCCAGAAAATATGTTCATAAATAAAAAAGTCATGCTCCAGTATTCCTCATTAGTCAGTGATATTCTTGGAAAACCCAGGCAAGAAAACAACTTAAGTCATATTTTCTTTACTTATCAAAAGGCACAATATTTGTTATAAAATTATTGTTTCAAATGATAGTACCCTAAAATATAGCATTTCTATGTTAAAGCAGAGACAAATTTGTGAAAATTCTTATTGTATTATCTAATATTTCATGTGAAAAAATACCCTATTCCTAACATTAAAAAGATCAGGGCTTTTTCTAAATCCTTCTAATTTTTTTTAAAAGAAATTGATGTGAAAATTAGGAATTGGTTAGATATTCCTAAGAATAGAGGTATGATGCTTGATGTGTTTTTTTATAAAATTATACCATATAAAAAAATCATCTAATATCCAGGATCAGCAAAGCTTCCAGAAGAGTAAATAATCATTAACCGCTGTTTCTAAAAATTACCTAATGCACCATAAACTCACCTTCAGATCTGAAAAATAAATACAAAGTGGTTATACCTAGATAGTTGACTTTGCTTGAGTCTAAGCTAGATGAATACATCTTTACTGTCATTTGATAAAGAGTAGACTGTTCCTGTTTTGATCTCAGAGAATGAAACCCCAACATGTAAAATGATAAACCAGGTCTTACGTTTTGTTTTGTTTTGTTTTGTTTTTTTCAGGAGGAAGAGAACACCCATTCAACTAGATTAGACAACATCCTGCCAAGGGGCGTCAGTCCAATCACTGATGTGCCTGAGAGGGCTACTATTCAGACACATGAGACCACTTCTAGCCACATCTGGCCACTTGAGTACACAAGTTGGCATATGCCTGCTGTAGAAAGCATGAACATCACTGCCCACGCAATTTACCCAGGATTCTTTACTGTTGAAGGGTTATTTCTATTTCCAAAGGAGGATCCTTAAAACAATAGAATTCTCATCTATACCCTTCTAATCACAGAAAGTTTATTTTTCTTCCTGTTCTTCGCTTGAGCAGTTGGTTTCTGAACAGCTTCAATCTGGCCTCAGGCCTTTGAACTGTTGATTGCTCATGTTCAGGTATTGATTTCAGGTTGTGCCAATTCATTGAAATTGTACTTAATTTCAAAGGACCTCAATCACTTGCTGGGGGACCAGCTTGTGTGAAAGCGGACAAATGACTTCCCCCAGGAAACCTGACCTCTCCCAATCACAGGTATATATAGGGCTTCCAATGACAGAGAATAATTGTTCTAATATTTTACTGATTATTGCCTGGTTCTCACAATTGTTTCTTTTTCCAAGGGGCAAAAAATATTTTGCTTAATTTTGTTCACTGTTGTTTTTCCTCACCAAGTCTAGAATTAGTCATATAATAAAATGTATCTAGTAGTACTTTTAGAACATTAAACTGAATTGTACATAACTGATTTAGATATAAATTACTAGTGATCTCTCTTTTATGTCAAGTTGTCATCTAGAGCTAAAGTGTACAATAAACTCATGAATGCACACACACATTCACACATACCAGTAACTCATCAGACACTCAGATCTTATAGTCAAGATTCCATTGTATTTTAATTCTATCTTCGTAAGCATCAAATTCTGCACTACTCTGATCGATGGCAAGTCTTTTCTACAACTTACTGTGTCTCATCAGTTCGTCTCTACCTGTGCTGTGATTATCCCAGTATTACCAGATTAGAATGCCAAATATCTATCACTTGTCAACAAAGTATTTTTTTTTTTAAAGAGGCACTTTTGATAAATTTTATCCCTCAACAAAGGGACTTGTCCTTGCAACATACGGTCGGAAACCATTACAGAAAACCACAACTGATCAAATTGTAGAGAACAAGTGACCATGTGGTGCTCAGCCACAACTGATATATATGTAGCACAGCTCCTGCACCAAAGGCTCAGGGATCACTGCAGAAGAGACAGTAAGACAGTAAGCGCCAGATGAAAACAAATGACATCTGCTTTGAAACGACATCTCCTAGAATGTCAGAGAAGCTACATTCATGAATTCTCACCAACATGGCTACCTAAACATGACCTGAACAAGGGCTACACAAATGGACATGTTAATGCGAAGGGGAAAAGTTCATGAGCCTCAACCATAGACAAAGAGCTTCCC